CATTCCCGGGCCACTTTTTGGATGCCCGGAGCCAACTGTAGGCCACTTCGTGCTCTTCGACTTCCCAGAACTCCATTCCCGGGCCACATTTTGCATGCCCGGAGCCAAACTGTAAGCCAGTTCGTGCTCTTCGATTTCCCAGAACTCCATTCCCGGGCCACATTTTGATGCCCGGAGCCAACTGTAGGCCACTTCGTGTTCTTCAAGTTCCCAGAACTCCATTCCTGGGCATGATTTTGAATGCCCGGAGCCAACTGTAGGCCACTTCGTGTTCTTCTAGTTCCCAGAACTCCATTCCTGGGCCACATTTTGAATGCTGAGGCAGGCTGATGCTGCGGCCGAGGCAGGCTGAGGCTGAGGCAGGCTGAGGCTGAGGCCGAGGCTGAAGGCAGACTGAGGCTGAGGCTGAAGCAGACTGAGGCTGAGGCTGAGGCAGGCTGAGGCTGAGGCTGAGGCAGGCTGATGCTGAGGCAGGCTGAGGCTGAGGCTGAGGCTGATGCAGGCTGAGGCTGAGGCCGAGGCCGAGGCTGAAGGCAGACTGATGGCTGAGGCTGAAGCAGGCTGAGGCTGAGGCTGAGGCAGGCTGAGGCTGAGGCAGGCTGAGGCTGAGGCTGCTGAGGCTGAGGCTGTGACTGCGACTGCCGTTGCCGCTGCGACTGTCATCGCGAATGCGACTACGACTGCGAGAACAGCAGAATTCGACAACTGGATTTTCATTTGAATCTTAAGGGGAATGCTTTCAGATATGCTTATACACATCGCTGTTAGGTTGCTTTGCCGGGATAATTTTTTTGTGGTTCGCCTCCTCCTCCTGCCCCTCCCCCTCTCCCACCCACTCTCCCCCTCCCCTTCCCCCTCCCCCCCTCCCTCCCCCTCGCAGGGCATGGGCTTTCGGGGGGAGTTGGGGCGCGGGGGGCGTTCGTTGCCCATCCGTCTCGATGCGAGCGCTCCTCTCCCCATCCGCCTCCTCCGCGCCCCCCTCCCCGAGATGCTCCCCGCCCTTTGGCGGCGCCTCGGCCCCCAGCAGTCACCGCTGGCGTGCCCAGGGGCGGCGGCGGCCGCGGACCCGAGGTCCCTGGGGTGTCAGGTCCAGGGTGGGCTCACGGCTGGCCGCCGTCCGGGCATGTTTTTTTTTTGTTTTTTTTTTCTCTCTCTCTCTCTCTCTCTCTCTCTCTCTCTCTCTCTCTCTCTTTCTATACATACATATATAGATAGTATATATGTGTATGTCTCTCTCTCTCTCTGTCTCTCTTTCCTGCCTGTAGGTCGGGCATGTCCTCCTGCAAGCAGACTTGGGAGGAAAAAGTACAAGGACTCGACGACTAGTGAACAATAGTCTAACATAACAAAAAACAAATCGTCCCTGGACCAATGTTTGAAAGCTGTTGCTCAATACTCCTCCTGTAGAGGGGCGTGCCCGACTTCATCCGGACGTGGTGCTGCGCAGGTGCTCCTGAAACTCAGCAGCTGCCCTGAGGTACGCTCGATGTGAGACGCGGCACGCCTGCCGTGCTCGACGCGTCCGTGCCCCCACGCCGCGCGTGGGCTCGGCGCGTGGCGGCCCACGCTCTAAACAAAAAAAACATGCACAAAAGAACACATCGCGCCCGACCTGCGCTTTCGGTCCGCGGGCGTTTGGGCTCCGCGTCGGCACGCGGCGGGCGGCGCGCTGCGCCGCGGGGCGGCCAGGGCGGCGCAGGTGCTACACAGAAGGGCGCAGGTGCTATACACAGAAGTGCTTCCCGTCTGCCGCGTCCCCTCCCCGGGGGGGGGGGCGGGCTTGCTGCCTCCCGGCAGGTCCCCGCGCAGCGCGCGGGCCCGTGCTCGAGGCTTCGCGCTCGCGGGCCTCCGCCGGGGCACGGCCACGCCACACCGGTGGGCGGCAGAGTCGTGCCCGCACGCATGCGCTTCCAGGAAGGGCCTGCCAGCCGAGGCATCGTTCGTGTGCGTGTGTGTGTGTGTGTTTTCGTGTGTGTGTGTGTGTTTTTGTGTGTGTGTGTGTGTCGATTGGGGGCTTTTGCCACCAAGTCGCTGCGGAGGCCGCGATCGTCAAAAGTGTGTGTGTGTGTGTTTATTCGTGTTCGTGTGTGTGTGAGTGTGTGTGTGTGTGTTTGTGAGTGTGAGTGTGTGTGTGTGTGTGTGCGTTGTGCGTGTGAGTGTGTGTGTGTGTGTGTTGTGCGTGTGCGTGTTCGTGTGCGTGTGTGTGTGTGTGTTTGTGTGTGTTTGTGAGTTTGTGTGTGTGTTTGTGTGTGCGTGCGTGCGTGCGTGCGTACGTGTGTGTGTGTGTGTGTGTGTGTGCGTGTTTCTGTGTGTGTGCGTGCGTGCGTGCGTGCGTGCGTGCGTGTGTTTGTTGTTGACCTCAGAGACGGCAGGGCCAAATTGTTTGACTGGTTCCGTTGCTCCGTTTGTGTTCCGGTTCCGTCACAATTCTGTGTTTTTGTTCAGTCGCCGTGTTTCTGTGTAAGTGACGCCCTCTCTGCTTGTTTCCGCTGATAGTTTGTTGTTTTGCATTGTTATCAAAATCAAAAGCCAGGTGCTGGAAATTGTGCACAAACCTGTCCTGCCATTTCCGAGGCCTACGAAGTTCCTGCGTGTCTGTGTGTGCGTGTGTGTGTGTGTGTCTGTGTGGAACAGCTGTTGGGTGTGGCGCTGAGGTATGGTGCTGGACATCGCCCTCGGGGAGGCCCCTGACCAATCTGGATCGGTGATTTTGTGAATGCGATTTGGGCTTCCTGTCTCGTTCGAAGGGTCGCCCTCGCCTTAAGGCTGCAGATGGCCCGCGCAAGCCAGACGGCTCTGCGTGCAGAATCCGAGAGGAATTTGGTGGAATCGAAAGCTGACCCCCAAGGGAGGTCATTACTGTTCCCCTCAGAGGTTTCAGGAGAAGGCCGTGTATCCTTGCGTCAATCATTCGGACACGTGCGTCCGCGTTCCTGGCCCAGCTTTTGCCCTGCTGCTTGCCAGAAGCTCCGCGCACTCCTGTGCATGCACGGGCCTGTGGTCACAAGGCTGGCCCTGCGTTTGCTCAGGATGCTAGTAGCAAATCCGCCCAGGAGCTTTATGAGATGTTGTTTTGTGTTGCTTGGCCATCGTTCAAGCTGTTTCAGCGGATGTGTGCCAGCGCTCGTTTTGAAGATCCGTCAGCAAGGACATTGGGTCGCATCTTCGGGGCCTCATTGGATCCCTGTCCGACCGAACCGAGTCGCGGACACCCTTGCGAACCCCCGTTCGGAGAAACCCCCCCATGGTTCGGTGGCAACTCATAGGAGCCTCCCATACCCTCGTGTCGGCTCTTGCGAATCGACGCTGGTCGACGCTAAATCAACGCGAACTCAACGCTAATCGACGCTAGCCGACGCTAAATCGGCGCTCCATGGCGTGTTTCTCAAAGGAGCGATTGCGCTCGGTTGCAAACACCGGCGCGGAGGGCACCGCCAGGCCATGCTTTGCGAGGTTCGCGCTGTCGTTTCTGAGGCTCGGCGTTTCAACTTTGCTTGCAAGCGTGGCTCAGCAACTCATTCGCTTGAGGCGAAAAAACAAGGAGAAGGGACAGTTCCCGTTGGGGCCATGCGATGGTTAATCTATCATTTTGTTCAAGCGCGGTGCCCGATCGGCAGCTTCGATGTTCCCGAACCCCGCATGCCAGTTGGAGTACTTGCGGGACGGTAACTACTGCCGGCCTTGGGCAACCTCCGGGAGGCGCAGGTCGCCAGGTTGCCTTACATTATTCCTTCCCTCCGTTGTCCTCCTGTCCCGCTGCTCAGTCCTGCCTCCTTCCCTTGTCCGTCCCTGTCTGCCCGTTTTAACTTCACCACCGGAATGTGGGGGGCCCTCCCCGACCTTCGCGGGCTCCACCGAGGCGAGGACTCGTTGACCCGGTTCCTTGCGGAGAAGAGTTTCTCCGCTGGGCCTGGTGATGAGCTGGAGGCCGGGCTCCCATGTCCTCGCCGTCATCGTTGTCGTCACCAGCGCCGGCACTGTCACGAAACATCTGGTGGCCTTGGGTCCTTCTCGCCACCGTGCCTTGGCTTTGGGCTCGAGTCCTCTTGGATGCCTCCTTGGGTCTCTTGGGATCCCTCTCGGGAGCCTCTTGGAGTCATCCTGGGACTTCAAGGGCGCCTCTTGGCCGCCTCTTGGTCGCTCCTTCGGGGCCTCTTGCAGAGGCCCAGGGGCCCGCCGCTTCGGGGGCCCAACGTCGCATCCGAGGCGACACTCTCCAGGACCTTCCCGCCAAGCCCAAAACCTCACAAGATCCAATGGGACATCGATGAGTTTGGCCCTCCCTCTTTTCTGCCTCCGATGGGCTGCTGAGGCCTCCAGGTCGTCCCCAGGAGGCCCCAGGACGTCCCCCAACAGCACCCAAGAGCTTAGCTGGCCCTGGAGACGACAGGGCCGTTTTTTTTACCGGTTCCGTTTTGCCGTTTCTGTTGCCGGTTCCTTCGCCGTTTTTGTTGCCGGTTCCGTCGCCGGTTGTTCTCGGTTCCGGCTCCGGTTCCAATTCCCGAGCTGTTTTGTTGTTTGCCGTTTCCGGTTCCCGTTTTTTGTGCCGCTTCCATGCTCAAGAGGAGAAGGGAGGAGGGAGGTGGGAGGAGGGAGGCGGGAGGAGGGAGGAGGGAGGAGGAGGAGGAGGAGGAGGAGGAGGAGGAGGAGGAGGTCCGTAGCCATTTTGGCTCAAGCCGTCCGCGCGAGGCCCCTGGCTCGAGCGTGCTAGCGCATGTTTCCTGCCTCCGCGGTGTCTGCACGGGCTTGTTCTGGCGCGGGAGGGCATGGGAGATGCATGCCCAGTTTCAGAGGAGGCAAAGGCAGCAGGAAGGAAGGAGGAGGGGGTGGGAGGAGGAGGAGGAGGAGGAGGAGGAGGAGGAGGAGGAGGAGGAGGAGGAGGAGGAGGTCCGTAGCCATTTTGGCTCAAGCCGTCCGCGCGAGGCCCCTGGCTCGAGCGTGCTAGCGCATGTTTCCTGCCTCCGCGGTGTCTGCACGGGCTTGTTCTGGCGCGGGGGGGCATGGGAGATGCATGCCCAGTTTCACAAATTTCACCACGTCGATCTGCCGCTGAACGACGCGCTCGCCGGGAATGGGCCCGCCTTTCGGCGGATCGGGCAGATCATCGGCTTTCAGAGGAGTTGCACCAGCTCCAGGCCAAATACGGTGAGCTCCTCCAGTCTTTCGTGGCCCTTTTCGGCGACCCAGGTCTTGCAGATCGAGTTCTTGCAGTGGTACCAGCTCTTACGGACCTCTTGCAAGGACGACTTCCTGAGCAGTCGGTGATTCTTCGCCGCAACGTAGCCATGCATGCTTCAGCCCCCCCTGGGCTATGGATTTCTTTAGCGTCGACCAGGGAGCTCAGGAAACTGCAAAAAGGGGCCAGGCTTCCAGACAAGTTGGCTAAGGCTCCCGACGCTGCCCCTTGCGCCCCGCAGGCGACGAACGTCCAGCAGGTGGAGCATCTGGGCGGGCTTGGGAGCTGGGAGCCGTGTGGCGCTGCCATTTATTACAGGGCAGAGCCTGGCCCCCACCCCACGGCAGGGGATAGAAAGGCAGACGCGGCTGGTGGTGAAGCTAATTTTCAAGCGCGGCAGGGAGTTAGCCAGTGTGCGGACGTGGCGGGTGCGGCCCCTTCGGAGCCTGGTCTTTCTGTTGCGGCCGTCGAGGTGGAGTCGGAAGTCTCACAGGAGGAAGCCAGCACCAATCTTCGGAGAACTTGCGCGGGGGGGCATGAGTTGGGCGGAGAAGAGGCCAGTGACCAGGAGGACGCTGAGATCGATCCCTTCAGAGTTCCCATCGGATGCTCGGAGTGTTCCAACATCTTCAGGAGTGGCATGCTTCGTTTCCTTTGTAGCGATTTCGACTGCGATGACATGTTCTGTGAGAATTGTGTTCATCCACAACTTCGACGGCCATTTTGAGGTTTTCAGCTCGGATCTGGCTGGGTATTTTCTTTCATTGTGGCGCTCTCTTGCGTTCGTCCCTCAGTTTTCGTTGCGTGGTATGCGTCATCCGTATTTGAAATTGTGGGCTTGCGTGGAGATGGGTGGGGCTTTGCACGAGAATTTCGGCCAGTCCTTCGAGTTGCTGGACTGAGTTTTCGGGGCTCCGCCATGTGGATTCCGCCCCTCAGTTAGGTAAGAGGTAAGAGGAGGAGGAGGAGGAGGAGGAGGAGGAGGAGGAGGAGGAGGAGGAGGAGGAGGAGGAGGAGGAGGAGGAGGAGGAGGAGGAGGAGGAGGAGGAGGAGGAGGAGGAGGAGGAGGAGGAGGAGGAGGGAGGAGGGGAGGAGGAGGAGGAGGAGGAGGAGGGGAGGGAGGAGGGAGGAGGAGGAGGAAGGAGGAGGAGGAGGGAGGAGGAGGAGGAGGAGGAGGAGGAGGAGGAGGAGGCGGCGGCGGCGGCGGCGGAGGAGGAGGAGGAGGAGGAGGTAGGAGGAGGAGGGAGGAGGAGGGAGGAGGGCAAGGCAGTAGGAGGAGGATGGATGGAAGGAGGAGGAGGAGGAGGAGGACCAGGACAGGGGAAGGAGGAGGAGAGAGGAGGAGGAGGAGTGAGGAGGAGGTGGGAGGAAGAGGAGGAGGAGGAGGAGGCAGGAGGAGGAGGAGGAGGAGGAGGAGGAGGAGGAGGAGTTTGCCCCCCCTCTTCCTAACACCTCACCTTCGCGGCCCGTGCGACGGCAGGCCCTGCCACGCCGACGAGCCTCGGCGCGTCCGGGGGCGCCGGCGGCGTTGAGGCCGCGCAGGGGCCAGGGGCCTTGCAGCCGGACGGGGGCACGTCATGCCCCCCCCAGCCCTCCCCTCCTCCTCTGCACGAACGAGATGGGCACGGAAAGAATGGGCACAATGCTCAACAGCAGTTTCTGTCCACTTTGAGCAGGACTCGCTGTCGGTGTCGCCGCGGCCTGTGTCCATTCGAGACAGAAGGCCGCCCCTGCCCAACAGCGGCCGCTGTTGGTTTGGGACAACGTTTGTTGTTGGGCATTGTACCCATTCTTTCCGTACCAATTTCGGGCGTCCAAACCCCCGCCCCGGAAAAACTCATCCGCCCCGGGAAAATTCCTTCGGGAAAAGGGCGTTCCCCGGGAAAGGGGCTCCTTCTCCACGTGCCCCATCAGAGAACATGTGGGAGATCATGGGCCACAAACCCCACCACGCCGCCAACCCCACCATCCTTAGCACCAAACCAAGCCCCAAACACCAAAAGCCCCAACCCCAACCCCAAAACACCAAGCACCAAACGCTAGACACCAAACCCCAAACACCAACACACCAACACCAGCACACCAAACGCCAAACACCACACCTCAAACACCAACCCCAAACCACCATACCCCAAAATCAGACACCAACACCCCTACACCCTGAACACCAAGCACAACTACGACTACCACCACTCTTGCTACGATTCGTATTGTTGTTCCACGACCGCTGCGATTGCTATTACGATTTCCATGCTCACAAGTATTACCAAGATGACGACTACGACTGCAAGCGCTGTTGCTACTCGTCCTACTCCTACTCCTCGTATTTTTCTGCGGTTCACGCACATGTTTACACCATTGGATTTGTTACTGCTACTTTCAATGCTACTTACTTCTACCTTTTTCTT